GAAGTTCCAGTTGATTTATTGTTGGACATATTTTTGCTTCGGAGGGGCACTTGGCATTCCCCGGGGGGTGGAGATATAGCTGAGATATAGCTGAAAGAAACTCTGCTCTAGGTAAACGCTCTGCCAAGGAACTCGCTAACTGCCTTACTCACCAGGTGAACACTGCACGAGAAAGACTGAAAATGCCACGTGTGTAAACAAACAACACTCCACACACACAAGAGTACCCTCCACACACACAAGAGTACCCTCCACAAGATGGAAATGCGAGGAGAGAGAAAGTCTTTTTAAAAAGTGGAGATACTTGGGGTGGAAATCGCCCCCTCCAATACCACTGGCTCTTTCCCCCATAAAAATATAACCCCCCCCCCCCCCCAGCTACCCCTGGAACAAATTGTTTCGTTTGAGTGTGCCCTCTCAGTCGATCAAGTCAACCGATTGTACGGTATGAATTAAGACATGGGAAATTTTCCCAGATCTTGTGAATTCTTGACAGACTGGATGATAATTTTTAATAATTTTTTTTTTTAAAAGGAGAAACCTTTGAAATTTCAATCTTGAGGGAAATATTGTGACACATAAGTGACATAATATGGCGAAATAATAAAAAGATAAGAAGGAAGAAAAAAGGGGAGAAGAAAGATTTGGTTCATTGGTCTTGATCAGCAGCTGCCACGTTTTAGCTCGTGACAGTGCTGTCCAACCTTTTTGTCTCCGTTGTTAACAAACCCCCCCCCCCCCCAAAAAAAAAAAAAAAAAAAAAAAAAACAAAAAAAGATAAATCCGCAAAAGCCGAGGGCCACAAATGACATCACAATATTTTTTTATTTTTAAATCTACTTTTTATAAAACTATTTCTTACCGTATGCATAAAGAATCATGTATCCAACATAGCATCATCGGCTCATCAAGAATAAAGATAAGCGAATAAAACTGTAGCATTTCTTTACTTGCATATCGTTCTTTGAATTGTGCTTGTAATGTTCTTAATTAATTGGATATAGTTTTCAGCAGCACGCCCCCGTTTTGATTTTCTAAAAGATCACTAGTTTAAAGCGTAACGATTTCTATTTTTTTTGTGGGGTGGGTGGGGGGTGGGGGGGGGGGAGGACTTGATGAAGTTATTAATAAAGCTGTATAGACAAATAAAAATAATGACTTAAAAGTTATAAAACTACATGACATAACTCTTTAAAAAAAACTAAACATTAAAGTTAAAGGATTTGAAAAAAAAAAAAAAAAAAAAAAAAACAACCCAAAACAGGTCAACTAGGATTCCTAAATTTCCTCTGTTGTTCTTCAAATAAGTATAGGATTTACAACTAAATTCGGGTTTGCCCAAAATGCATGAAACATGTTCTGGGGCAGTGGTCGGAAAATCGCGTCTCGCGAGCCGCATGCGGCTCTTTAGCTACCTGAGTGCGGCGCGGCCAGTCGGAAACAAATCGGTTTTGACTCCGAAAAACGTAGTTCTTGACATGCTCTTGAAAAAAAATTTGGCTCTCAAAAATTTGTTAATTGCCCTGCTGCTGCTTTTTGGCTCTTCAGACTATTGAATTTGCCTACCACTGTTCTGGGGAATGGCTCGATGAGCCCCTATACCCCACTCCCACTCGAAAGCCTTCGATGCCCCCTAATTCTGCTCCCTCCCTGATCAAAGGGGATGTTCATAATCAAAATGTTTATTTTGATATGACAAAAATAGGGTTTTACCTTAGTTTGGTATCAGTGGTGTAGCTAAGGTTGGTGCCGCCCGTTTGGTTCAAGATCATTCCCCCTCCCCAGCAGTGTTTCTTTCAGAATTTCCCCCCCCCCCCCGGGGGGCACTTAAGATTATTTTTTTTGGGGGGGCGGGTCCTTCAGTTGCTTTGTTTGTTTTTTTTTTTTTTTTTTTTAGGGGGGGGGGGGGGGGCCAAAAAAAAGTCTTTTTTTTTTCACTGATCCGTCCCGGGGGCACTTCTTTCTCTATATTAAGTGGCACCATTTTCCGGCTTCCATCCAGGTGCAGCATTTGCTTCGCAGCGGACACACAACAGTCAAAACAGAATTTTAAAAAAAAAATAGCACTTAAATGAAAAGTAGTATCCGATAGGTAGCCAAAGAATGGTAATAACCTAAATTTGGCATAAGCGCCGGGAATCGAAACCTTATAGGCTTACAGGAACCACTGAAGAGGCACATTGAAGATACGGTGGACGAGATAATACTGTAACACTGCTACTACTGAAGCGATATTTAGCGAATAATTTGTGAAAAGAGATGGCAACGTTGCGTAACATTTTTACAGCATTGAAGATGCTATTTTTGGACTGTCAGGTGGAGCTGAAACTATTTATTGCACTTGCCTATATGGAGAAATAATATAAGACAAATGGAAATAAGACAAGCAAGGCATCGCTGCCAAAAGTACAGACAAGGCGGATGACGGGAGGAAAGTAGGCCTACGGACAAAATTAAGGGCGCAAAAATTGGTACGGAAAAGGGGGTCGAAAATACAAACTGTCCGTACTAAATATGGACGTCTGGTAACCCTAACTAATGTGACAGACACATTTTTTGGACGGAAACGTTTTTTTTTTTGTGCTCTAAAATTGAGTTATTAATAAAGCTGTATAGACAAATATAAATAATGACTTAAAAGTTATAAAACTACATGACATAACTCTTTAGAAACAACTAAACATTAAAGTTAAAGGATTTGTAAAAAAAAAACAAAAAAAAAAAAAAAACCCAAAA